TATTGAGCGTTAGATCACTAGAAACATAAAACAAAATTGATTTAACTCGTAAATCCTCTTCGCTATTTAATGACCAMGAAATCTCCTAAGTATCCTATCTAAACGATTGATTACGAAGCGCAATGTACACCGTAGGTAGACAAGACGACGGCAGTCAAAAACACAATGTCGACTAACCTTTGCTGTAGCAAAACTTTTCGGTACTTTTCTTCAGTGCTCAATGTTTATCATAAAAGTTTTGATAATGTTTTGCGCACTCGATTTTCAATCCTCTGGCGGATAGATAAGTGTACTGTTCTAATCCATAGTCGATCCGCGTTATTCGATGAAGGTATTGCGTTAAATGGTCGAATTTTAAGCCATGAAGTTTGGGAGGGCGCCCGGTTGGAACAGACTTCACCWTCGAGTGAGATATTGCTGAAGCTACAAGAAGCTATCGGAACCACCTTATATGCGAACCATCACGACGGGAAACAATTTATCTTTCTGAAAATGTGTTTATGGATTATTTCGGAAATGTGAGTCAGTGAAAAATGTTTCACAACGTAAATCATACCTTATGTCGCTTCACAGACCCCTTGTCTCACCAAACAACCGGTGCAACACGCTTTTAGGAGGAGTCCTCCTACTTCCTCTAAAAACACACTGAATTAAGTTATATGTTAAGGCCTTTTAAGAACTCATCGAAACGTCATCGTCATAGCWGGAGTTTCTAAGCGATGATAATCAATTCACCATTTGACCACAATAAGTAATTTACTATATGAAAACACTTGGAAAGTCATTCTTTCTTGAACTTTATTTATCATAGGCGGTTTGTACTTTATTTACTGATTGTATCTCGGTGAACTCGTGAGTCTTTTAAGATAATTTACTGGCATTTTATACAAAAYGATTGTAGTTTCACGTAATTTATAGCCTTTATGGGCTCTTAGCTGATTGAATGTTAGCGCTCTTGAGACCGAACGAAGCGCACTGCCCTACTTTTATACGCATTCATTATTTACAGAATGCCATCTTGACAATTAATGGCCCTAAAAAAAAGGCTGAATGTTAGACTCTATTTGCCTTTAACATGAGTGGCCTGGAAAATTAGATAATATAAGGCCACCTGCCGATGTTCAAAAAATGAAATGGAAAAGGGAAATAACACAATGACTAAAATAACATAATGATACTTAACCATAGGAAACAGAAGAAAAGCCRTTAAAAAATGAAAAAATCCGCGGTTTAAACCCACAGTTAGAAAGATACAAKCATTAGAAAAATACGAGTAAAGAAGTATCATGCTTTGTTTATTTTTCAATGTAATTGGCGTGGAAAGTTATTGTAATGTCCAACTTTATCAGTGTTTAAACATTGATTTTRAAGCTTATATATATTAAATGTTACAAAGCTTTTGTGTTTATAGGCATCTATGTACGTTTATAAAACGGCGGCGACGTTTTGTCTGATTTTTCTTCTGGATCAATTTTCCCATCAACTCGAATGACAATAGAAAACAAACCAATGACATAACATGACACCAACGAGGTTTGCACGCAAAAACCGCTAGAAAAACACAGGCAAACAAGAGAAGTACAAGGAAAACATTTTGAGAAATGAAATAAAGAGAGCGCCGAAACGATAACAGCAGGAGTAGAAAAAAAATGTCTAAAACAAAAACAAAAATCATCAACTTGTAAAAAAGGTCGCCAGAGAAAAATAGCAAWGTTTTAAATTCCCATGATGTCAGACTCAAACAGAAATCTTATTGGTTGCTCAAGTACTGACGTCATTGACGATTTATCCCTAATATAGAAATGAACMCCTATGATGGGAAGAGGTCTTTTCATGTGAGCTTTTCGGTAGGTTTAGCCGTGATATATTTTAAAGTCCTCACACGATAAAAAGACTGATCCAACAACTAAGAACATAAGTTCACTAAATAACCGTACAATACTAATTAATTCTGTGGTTATAATTCGAAATACCGGCGCCAATATTCACCTTTCGGATATATCATATCATGGATTTAATCCCTCGTAATCTTCGGACAACGCCGATGTTGCTAAACTGGAAAGTCATGATGCGCGTGCGCATCTGTTTTGAATGAACTTTGAAAAGCTACCACAGTGAGGGAAACTGAAGGCGAGTAGTGACTTTTCTGTTTGCTGGTTGGCYAGCATTTCGTGTCGTGTGGCTTATTTGCATTATTCTAAGAAATCATTTAATTAAAATCATTGGCGGCACTTAAATTCCTTTTTTGCCATCTCATATCTGTAATTCAGAATAATTTTGAGTGAGTGGAAACTGCCCTGAGGGCAACGAACAACCTGTCATGTTTACGATACTAATAAAACCATCACGATCAATCATATTTGGTTTGCCTTGAGGTTTCTGTCACTTCTAATGGCACCCCCGTGGCTACCTGGAAAATGTGTCATAATTATCCAGGAAATGACTTTTGTATACACTTTGTGTTTCCTTTTTGCATTAATTCCAGGATTGATTGATATAACAAGGAAAAAATGATTMAAATTTGKCAATAGTTTGGAAATTTCTGAAGATCTTTCTGCTTATCAACAGGAGAAGATAAAATTCGTATCTCCAAGCGACCATGTAACATTCTGTTTATCATATAATTTTTCAATGAAATGCAAATTATGTAGTAAAATACCTTTTTTTCTTACTTCCACTATATAGAGAAACCTCGAATGTCAGTTATTTTTACTAGTGAAAATATCAACTTAACGTAMTGGAGAAATTTAGGTATTTATATGATAAAACATTTATTCTAGTGATGGTACTGACTTCAAACTGGAAATTATAATGCGAAATAAAGCAATATTTGAAATTCTAGAGCGGAAATTTATAGTTTTCCTATTTATGCCTATCAACCATCGAAAAAACCTTCAAAAATTGGCCCGTCTTCCCCTCGTGTTTTTACTAATGACTCAAAAGACCACTTTAAGACAATTTGCCGCCTTTTTCAAGGAAATGCTGACGTCACACATCCGGGAGTCGAAGCACGTGGGAATGTTTTTTTTTCTCAGACTAGAGTCAAGGTCTAATATTGCGAACTACTGAAGTTGTTGTAAATACAAAAATACAGCCTTCTAAACAAAAATGATCTACGAGCTTTTGCGATATTGTCCCTATATCTGCGTTGGATTGAGTGGGTTTGCCTAAATTAAGTTTCTCAACTCCGCTGGTTGAGTCGTTTACAATGAATTTCAGTCAAAATATTTGAAAAAGGCTTTTTGATAAAAGATGAACTTCAGACATATGGTGCTTATGTGAAAGTGAATTAATCTTAAAAATATTCTAGCTGTCATTAATCCTAAGAGCTTATAGCTTTTTCAAGGGATCTATCAATATATATTTACWGCAAAGTTGTATGTAAAATGAAAAACTAAGCATAAATTAATCTTATGTAACCCAAGCTACAGACATTTATAATGTATTAGACTTACATTGAGAGCTAAATATCAATTGTATGCTTGTCTATTTATGAAAAATGACCCAAAATAGTGAGAAGTGGTTTGTTATTTTTTCCMTTCAATTTTCGCCCTTGATAAAAATGCGACAACTTAGAAATCGCTATGCAATGGCACATAAAAATACGTCAATTGAAAATTCATCGATAGATTTAAGAAGAAGCATACGTTTTTAAACTTTTAATTATCAGAAGTAACATGSAAATACTAGAAAATGTTTTTAGAAAGCAAATGTTTGTTTATCAATAGAAAAAACCTACTAATTATCATTGTAAATAAGCGACAAAAACATAGAGTATGAATACAAGATCCAAGACTTACTATCGCCCTTTGTGGAAAACGTTTTGCCATCGAAATTCATCAGCTGCCTTTAAGAAAACATCGTCTTCAGTTATGTCAAAGAATTGGTCTAGTGATTGACTTTTGATATAGTTTATGTAGACCCTTGGTTCATATATTGTCCCGACCAATTGGGTTTCACAGGAAAAGAGGTGTATTTCCGCGCGAACCACACGATGAGGATGGCATGGTCATAAACTTTTGTTTATTCCCAACTAATGTTTGATTTAGTAATTACGTAAGGAAATAAATGACCAACTAAATGATATATGACATTGGGAATGAGATATGATCTTTATAAAGAGAATTTAAAAGAACAGAGCGACTCCTGTAGACAGCGGACACAATAAACGATAARTGACTTCGACACATTTATTTTTTTCATTTTGAAACCGTAGCTTTCTGTCCAAAGCTGAAAAATTCTCACTTTTTAAATCATTTAAATTACAAATGACCAAAACAAAAGGGAACTGACTTTGGTAATACAATATAAGCTTTTAGCGAAGACATTCCCTCAGTGCGACCGTGGACTGATAACAGATATCCCATTTTTTTGTTTTCACACTATATTTAGATGGAAATATAGTTTAATCTCGCGCTTGTATCTAAACGAAATGTCGCTTTAGTAAAGAAAAAAGTACATGGTTTCCTTTGGTTGAATATTGGATGCTTTTAGAGGTCTAAGCGTATTTTGTTATGCTTCTCCTGTTACTCGTTATTTCCGAAGCGGAGATTAACAACATGTACACTGCTTTTAGAATAATGAATCTGATTCTAAAACGTGGACAATGAAAAACTAAAACGGAAAAGAAAAGTAAAAACACATGGAATTGAATAAATGGGAGGAGCTAGAAGAAACTAAAGTAGAATAAAGACGTAGCTAGAATATAACGCGGATGTACGGATGTCAAAGTATTACTATAGACAGCTCTGTAATATTCAATGAATATCCCGGTAAARACTGAAACAGCGTTTGTAAAGATACCATAACGTCAATATTTCAAAAYCCGCTATATTGCGAACACTTTCCATTGCGGCCGTTGGACACTATTTTTCTGACGGCAAAAGCCTTTTTCTTGTTGTTTTAAATATAGTGAAAAATAGAGGACATTACATGGGCGCGCGAAATGCGAATTTTATCTTCTAGTGTTGAGAAGATCTCACACGAGTGAGCGTAGCGAGATTTTCAACACGAGAAGATAAAATTCGTATCTCCAAGCGACCATGTAATATTCTGTTTATCATATAATTACATATGAAAGCAAATTATGTCGTAAAATACCTTTTTTTCTTACTTCCACTATATAGAGAAACCTCGAATGTGTTATTTTCACTTTTCACTAGTGAAAATATCAACTTTACGAAATGGAGAAGTATAGGTATTTCATAGATGACTATAATATAAAATATTATCTTCCACAGTTCGAAACTATAACATGAAATTCTTTTATTGCAGCCAGAATTAGATCCCATTCATATATCATCTTTTCCGAAAATAATTTCTATATAAAGAATAGCTTATCTAATTGTCACTGTTGGATATTGGTGCTATCATTCTGATGCCTATTTTAAATTAAAGTTGGAAATATCATTAGGTCAGGTTTATAACATCAAAAACCACAGTTTTACATAAAGCCACTACAATACAGTACTCTAAAGTAGGTAAGTCATTAGAATCTGTGCAATTTTTTTTCGAATCAATGAAGACACTCGAAGCCATGGAGAATATCCTGAGATTGAGAAACAAAGAAAAAGTAGGAAGGAAGGAAGAAAGAAAAAAGTAAGAGAAAGTGAAAAGAATACACGAGAGCATTCCATTAATCAATGCGGAAGCTGTATATAAATTATCTGTAGCACCATTTCCTAATCAATGATTAGGTTTCTAAAGCACACATGCAGATATCATAGAAAGCACAAAAGATTTGCAATGATCATCATCGCATGAATGAAGAACTCATTAACACGAAAATCAGTATCTCTCTAAAACCCTTACTAACCGAGTTGTTTTAACTTAGGGATGATAAARAAGGTGTTTCCATACCTTCTTTCTTTGCAAAAACTTCACAAAAACACGTTGAATCTTTTAAAGTTTACTACGTACTTCTCTTGCGTGAGATTTCGTTTTTAGAGCATGTTGTTTTAACAATTAACATTTTCGTAGGATAAATATATACCTCTCATGGGGGTCTATGAATGATATAATTAACTGTCAAGAACAATTATAAAGAAGATCCATTAGAATTGACAATGTCAATGATATCCATTGTAGGGTATTATTCTTAAGTTAGCATTGAAATGGTATCCAAGTTGACATTGAATTGGTATCCAGTTTTAAAATAGCATTGAATTGGTATCCTGGTGGACACTAAAATGGTACCAAGTTGGCATTGAAATGGCATCCAGTTTTAAAAATAGCATTGAAATGGTATCCTGGTGGGCACTGAAATGGTATCAAAGTTGGCATTTTAATAGTATCCTAGTTAGCATTGAAATGTCTTCCAAGTTTGCATTTGAATGGCTTCCAAATTAGCACTGAACCATTGTCCAGACCCCAGTATATATGTTGAAATACTATAGAAACATAAACGAATATTAAGTTCAAACTCTACTCGATAATCAGATATTTGAAATTACATTAAAAGATAAAAATATCTCACAAAATGTTAAAAAAGCGAATTGTCTAATTACGGATAAAATGATATCAAAGAAGAGATCAAGCTACACGCAGATTCATTGCTATGGGACAGTATGAAATCGAGACGTGACGAGGAACATTCGAGTTGAGTAACTAATCGATTTGATCATCTGATTAAGTGGGAAAAACGTCTATTTTAAAAACAAACATTCSGTAAAAAAACGTTTCGGCAGATAAAGCGGCAATTTTGTCTTTTTTATGTAATTGTTAATGTGYAATAGTCGACTTGAAACAAAATAGAAATCTTCAAGATATAGGTTCGTTTCTAACTAGTGGTCTACTTACTATTTCACGGATTAGCGTAACGACCTCAAACCGAAAGGTTTAAACCCGTGAAACGAAGTGTAACATAAGTGTATAATTTTGGTGTACATAATTCAGCAAAAATACAAAGGAAAACGAGCAAAATAAAGACAAATAAAGCGTAGAACGCAAAATTGTATTTCACGGTTTTATAAAAACCATTCCAGATTGATAATATAACTAATAAAATCATTAATAATAGCAATAATATAGTAGGAAATAAAAATAAATGTAATAGAATATATTGTTAGATTCCTAGTTGTGATGCTATCAGAAGGAGAGGACATTGACGCAGCGTTGATAACGAAAGWGGGCTATGAACTAGTCACCGAGACTAACTGTGACCATTGGATCTTTATCTATAGTGCCAGCGAGGACAGGAATCAGTTTTTCACTTTTATATACTATTAACTTAAAAAGAATCTCGGAACAACTGCAGAAAAAGGCCCCTAATCGTTTTTTTTTACGTCTAAATGGGCCAGAGTTGGATGGAATTCAGGGAAAATAAATCTACAAAAGAGCATTTCTACAAAAAAATAAGTTATAATATTTATAACCTAATTACCGGAAACAAGCTGCACTATCTAAAAACGAAGTATTTTGAACCAAGAAGTTGAAAAACGTATGGACTGTAGACAAAAGCTCTTGATGCTTCAGTGAAACGTACTGTTTCGAGTGCATSSTTCAATCAAACGACCCTGAGCAATGCTTGAACTCAAAACAATGAACTACTRCTATCTTTGACGATACACAAAAACAGAGTTCAAATAGTGTCCCCGATAAAAGGCTTGATAACGTCCGAGCACTATCAATACCGTCGGACCCTCTAGTACTTAGAAATCTGATCTCGGCAAAGACAAAGCCAAAGGGAAGAAGCTTTTAAGCCTAAGATACTTATAAAGTAAAAKCTGGATTATGGTAGGAAACAACCACAATTTAAAATCAACCTTCATGTTTCTACCACAACACGAAATTCAAATTCACTTCACTTWAGCTCAATACATAGTCTTGAATTCCTGGAAAGTTTGTCCCGTCTTTCTGTGTACAATTGCGTGCGAAAAGTKTAGCTATGAGGCGTGAAWACGTTAAAGAATGACTGACGTTTCTCCAAATTACCTGCAAGGAGTTGATTGAACTGGCCACTTTGTTTCCAAAGCAACAACGTTAAATGTTTGCTTTATTTAAAAGAATTTCCTTTTTTAGAGCACGAAAGACGACTTTAAAAACACAAACATTTGAGTCWTACGTGTATCCAGGCTATACCCTAGAATGTTTACAAGTACTTTATACCATCTGCAATACATAAACTATTAATATGGCTTTCTACAAAACATCTCTATGTTTTTAAGTGAATTAAAAGAAAATTTATGCACGGTAAATCTAAAAATACATAATTRTAGCAATAACAACATCCAGAGACGAATTTTCAGTTCAAATATCACAAGCTAGAAAGAAATCCTCTTAGAAAATACATACTTAAGCCGTATTTATCATAAGCTGGTTCTGCCAGGAAATGTGCTACTTTTCTTAATCTCAGAAGAACAAATATAGTTCGTAATATCGAATTGACAAAGAAAACTTGCTAACTTTCTCATCTACGCGCAAGTACAGGGCAGATACACATTGAAGTTTGGATTTAACAAAGAAAAGTGCTTTCATCTACTACTTATTTCGGGCTAGAGCAACTTGCTAAAGAGGCAACACATACACTTATTAATGAACAATCAAAAAATACGTTTTCAAAAAAAAAAAAAAAAAACACAAAATACCCCAGTCAATTAGATAACTAAATCGATTACCTGTTTGAAATTCTCTGAAGCATGAAAGTGACAATACTCAAGTTCTTTTTGCCCCCAAAACATAAGATGAACTCTTCTCGACGTAATAAATCGCAGTTGCCAATGCGATCCGTATGCACTAATTACAGTTTAGCACTTTTAAGATTATTTAAAGGTGTTAACCGCGCCTTAAACACCATGACGTCATGAAAGAGGTGTTTCAACACGAGTTCAACTGATATGATATCTGGCGATTTAGTTTAGATTAGCTCAACTACACGACAAGATCATCGAGCGTCAGCACAACGGGCGCGTAAGCTGCTCTCCTTGAGACACGTCCTTTTTAATATCAAACTGTTTGACATAGGACGCGAGGTAGAGGTTCCAATACTGGGTCCATATAACTAGACGTTTCAGCTAAAATTCGAAATCTAGGCAGAAAAGAGCGTTTTAAAATAAACAATTGCAAAAAATGAAGGCAATTTGTTGAGCATTTGAGAAGAAACAGCTTCACAAACTTATGAAAGTCTACAAGGAACACTGGAAAAAATCGCGCACTTAAAATGGTTATATAAGTATCCAAAATGATGTAAATTTTTACATCAAATTTACAACCTTTAAAGTGCGCGATTTTTCCAGTGGAAGCCAGAATGTGATTTGGTGACTTTGCAATTGTATCTTTTTTAATTTCCAACAGATTTTTGTTTTCAAATTTGACAAATTTATTAATTTCAGTTAAAAAACTATCAATGCAAAATATGTCTAACAATTAAAGACAGTATTATTTAGTGCAAACTTCTGAAATTCTTTTTTTTCTTCATACACGTTTAAGTGATGATTTTCAGA